ATAACTTTCATTCGTTCACGAACCTGGCACAGTGCACTGCTGACCTCTTTTCAATAGGGGCCAGATTAGCATGTAGCAGTGCTGTGTGGCTCATCGCTGCGGTGGTGGAGCGCTTTTGTCCCCGGTAGTAATCCGCTAGCTCTGAATGCCCAAAACTGTGGTGTACTGTTTCAAAACAAGATTGGATTATCTCCACTATTGAGAGTGAAAAATGTCAGTAATGCTCAGCAGCTCAGTCTTTTGTGCCAAGCACGGTCTTTTGTTACAAGGCCCAGCTCTTTTGTCCCGGTTTCAGGCTCCCTGGCTTCGTGTATAAAGCCTATGTGTTCGAAAACGGGTCCCCCGGCAGCAAGTGGTTAAGGCTGTGCGGACACCATCAGTACCTACCTCCAAAAAATCACATTTTACATCCAAATTTTTATTGAACTTTATGAACTTAGTAAAAAGATATACCCACAAGTAGGGTTTGATTGATCACTTTAAACAGTTCAGATCCGTTAAATTTAGTTTAATACAAAATGATACTTTTCTTCAGTAATTAGGCCAAGCAAATACCTAGACATTTGTTACTTCCAGTATTTTTCAATGAATTTGCTATTTGTGTTACTTTGTTTTGTTGTTTTATTGTATATAAGCCATGAGATGATTTAGTTATTACGAATCGTGAGCTTGGAATTGTGGAACATTTCCAGAAGAAAAATTCAAATTTCCTCATAATCATACTTCTAAAAATAATTTATTTTAACATGGATCTGATATGGCAAGATACTCACTAAGCTTTTTGAGATATACCTCACTGATAAGACATTTTTATTATTTTGCTTCGTTTTTCTTTTGTTGTGTTTTTGTACAAGACTGGTGCTCATTTAACTGTCGCAGTCTTCATATACATGTAATAGCATTCAGTGTTTGCAGGGGGAAAAGAGTCCATGGGACTCCAACCCTCTTTGAGTATATGCACACATCCATATGAACATTTCATTGTAGGGTGTATCAACATAGACGAACACGTCTCTCATTTGAATACGCCGTTTTCATATGAAAACAGTAGAAAGAGTGGAGAGAAATCCTAGAAAAAGCCAAACAAAATTTCTGGTGCATGTGGGGATAGGCCAGTAAAAGCAAATATCTGATATGTTCAGGTGCCTTTGCAAACAACCACACACAACAAAGCTTTCGAAAATAAACGTACCGCATTTCCAGGAACAAAAGGTTTATTTACACTTTTTGACAAACACCATTCAGTCCCAGCTGTTGGCATCTTGTTATGTATACTATACATGAGTACATGACGGCATGTTTTTGTTTGATCCGTTTTCGGCACGTCTAGCAAATGCGAGAGCATGTCAGGGTTGCCTCAGAGCTGTCTGACAGCAACGTTGGCATTTCACAGCCATACAGAAACTGGGATCCTGACTTCAAGGCTTCACCTCACTCACACTGTGTGTAATACGTTACAGCTACACATATTTTTCCAGTCTGGGGTATTTCAGAAACAAGGGCGTCAAGACTTAACGTCTAATCTGGATTGTGCATCAGATCTGTTGCTACAACATACATACAGTACTTGCTCAGGCAAGAATACAGTGTTGGTGCTAGTGAGTTTTGATATTTAAGCATCTTGCTCACATTTCAATTAACTTCTCATACGCCAAGATTTCCCTTACCAATTTTTTTTACCAATTTGACTCCATACTCACCCCGGTGCAGTTCACAATGCAATTTGCACGTGACAGTTTGAAGCTCATGCTATCTTGTCAACTCTACCCCCTGACTAAATTCCCCTTCTGTTGTAGTCTTTGGTAGACACAGAAACAAGTTTTTGAATATTCAGTACTGTAACTGCTAATTGACATGCGGTAAATTTTATGACTGATTCTGAGATATGGTATCAATTGTTCCATGATGGCAAGCAGTAACATGTTTTTAAAGAAGAATTTCCTTTTCAACAATACAGAATGGAAAACTACAAAATTCAAATGCACAATGTATATCTTGCAACTAATAAGCCATTTGCGAGTTAAATTTGAATAAAATCTGGCACACTGAGTTATTTGATTGCACACAAATGTAACAATTTTAATTCGTCAGACTAAAGATGCTGTTGCTATATCTCCTGATTCGGGGCAAGCTTTTGCATAGCTACCACCATCTCTGGAATGGACTGGTTCCTCTGTGCCCTTCTTATCCATTGGGAATCGTGTTTTGTTGCAAGGTGTCTCTTATGTACTAAGCAAAAGCTTGCACCGAATCACAAGGTTTAGCAACAGTGTTTTTAGTACGGAGAATTCAAATTGTTATGTTTCCGTGAATTTAAAGAACTCTGTGTACCAGATTTTATGCAAAAGTCACTCGCAAAAGGCTTATTGACTCGTGTCTCATCCCTATATGCAGCTGTAATAACATAGCCCTAACAGACCCAAATCCTCCGAATTCAATATGATTTTACATACACCCTAGGGGTTAAGGGTTAATGTCACCAACACAACATAAATAAACAAACTTTCTCGTCCATATTTAAGCAAGAAGCAATTTACCATCATACAAATTTGCACTCACATGTATTTGTACTGCCAAAGGCCAAACCATTAAACACTACAAACCAAATTCTGCTTAACAAGTTCACCAATTTAAAAAAAAAGCAAGAATTGCCACTATGTACATGTACGTTGAATTACCGAAACAAACTTTTTCAAAATGACGATACAGTTTGGTGCACACAGTATTCCCCCTCCCTCCCCCAGTATGATGTTCTATCATTTGTTTGGAGACAAGGGGGTTGAGATTTGGAGAGAATTCTTGCAATGGTGGTGTTTGTGCATTGATAATAGTAGGACTTTGGAATCAAAAACGATCTTCATCAATAAACAACAGAACCTCTGTCGAGGCTTGCATGCATCTACCCCGATGAAATGACTCTGCATGCTTGTTTTCTACCACACACTCATGTGCAGTAAAAAAGGAAAAAAAAAAACCAAATCACTCGGAAAAAAGACGACGAAGAAAGGTTGTCTGACAGGTGGGAGGAAAACTCTGGAATGGAGCTGCAGGAAAAATCTCACAGACTCAGGCTTGGACCAGATATCAGATCCGCTCATTGGCCAAGGCAAGGACAGTGCTACAGTGCCAGTGTGGTTCCACAAACAAAACTAAAACAAAAAACAGCATTTCAAACAATACTGGCAGTGGTTTTTTTCACTTAAACGGAGGCAGTGGCGTAGCTAGGATTTTACTAGTGGGAGGGGGGGGCAGCAGCTTTCAGTGGTGTGGCTTTTGGGGGAAAGTTTTTCTTAGCCTTGTTCAATATCCATTCATCCATTTTTTTTCAGTGGGGAGGGGGGCACCCGGGGGGCACTGGGAATTTGTGGGAGGGGGCACGTTCCTCCCCGGCCACGCCACTGGACAGAGGCTAATGCTGGAAGCCAGTAAACCTTGCATTGATGAAATCAGTACATCATAAAGAAAGGTTGCAGTTTATTTAACCACTTCCAATTGATGCTGTGCAGGTAACACACAATTTTTTTTTGTTTTTTGAAGAATTCGAAAAACATGTCTCTCCATCAGTCACAAGTAGTGTTAAAGTCAAGTCTTTTTTCAACTGCCAAAATACACTGAAACATATGGTTAAGCAAGGCTGCATATGTTAACCACACCAGGACAGCTGTACTTCAGGTCAGCCAGCATGTTGCTGGTTGAACACAAAGGCTGAAAAAGGTGTACCAGAAATGTCAGCATATTTACGGGCCTGTTTGTTTCGCGTGGATCCGGATCGCAATCAGTGATCCCAACACTGGTTTACAACATTCACCGGGTGGGATCTGGTGTCAGTGATCCAACTTTTGATCACTGATTCCGATCTGGATCTGTGTGAAACAAACACGCCCTACATGTACAAAGGATCCCAACTCCGACATTTTCCTGCATTTGTGTTCACATTCCAGCTCATAATAACAAACTCAAGTTCTCAGACCACACCATGCAGTTTCTCAAGGATATTACAGGTATCTCACATTTCAGCATACATGTATATTGCCAGACTTAAAATAGGACCTGACTACAGACTACAACACTTGCCATAAGTCGGCAAAGGCTTTGTTTTCTTCATGTTTTCCCATCTCAGGTTTTAATATTAACATGTAAGATTTAAGTTTTCAGAAATCCAGACATGAACTAGAGACCAACTACTGAACACGGCAGACCACAATGCCATATTTTTAAAAACATGATTACATGATTAAGCTGACACAACTACTGACCAGCATAAGTTGCGGTCTTAGCCAAACCATACATGTACAAAATGAGGTGACATGGAGTTTACTCTGGTACTAGATGCAGTAGATACCATAGGCAGGTTTAATAATACTTCAGGCATTAAGCACACTCAGCTTGTGGGAATTCACTGCGTCGGGGACTGTGATCTCTCTCCTTCCTCCTGGTCTGGTGGAGACCTCTTCAAGGGTACATCACTCAGTTTATGGGTGGCCATGCTGAGGTCGGTCTGCGTGCCCTTGGTAACAACTTCCTTGTCTCCCTGGCAGTGGGAGTCCAGCAGCCACAGCAGGTTGTCCTCCAGGAACGCCCTCAGGCCCGGCGGGAAGGCCAGTGCCTCCAGGACGCTGTGCTTGGTGGGCACGGCTTGCCGCAACGCCCGGCAGCACAAGAACTGCAGGCTGGAGGGGAAGAAGCGAGCGGCCTGGAGGCACATGCTGGACCTAGCGGCAGTGGAGCTGATCATAGGATGCCAGACCTTGCCCAGAAGGCCTTTCGTTGCAACACCTACAAAGAGGAAAACATTTCACCACATTTAATCTGCCAACTTGAGAAAGTTATACTGAGTGCATCATGTCATATGAGTAACTTTGGTTATGGTTTCTCTCTCAAGACTCACGGAGAGCTTATAAAGCTCCACAATGTACATTCAGAATCGTCCACCCTAACAAAACTATGAGCATTTGTACTGTTTTTGTTTTGGCGATGTGCAGGCCTGGATCTCTTATCAAACATCCGTGGAATTGTGGAGCCAGTATCTCCTCTTTCTTGTTCCCTTTCGCTTGCTTTTTGCCAATGCCACAGGTATGTAGCCTTCTCAGGGATACAGTCCCAGCACAGTTCATCCATGGCATAATGCCTCCACTGCAGTCAACTGACAACCCCAAGCTACAGGTGCGTGCTAGGCATGATGGGGTACATATCTGTGCGTGCACGGTGGTGTAAATGTATACAAGTGTGGGTTAACTTTCTCTGTGTTAAGGGGATGGTTTCTTAATAAGAAAAGTCAGAGCCATATTTTGGGGACAAACGTTTGTCCCCATAATGTTTTGGTCCCCACCATCTCTGTAGTTAAACACGTGTGGTCCCCGTAATATGGTAACAAGTGTGTACATGGACATGTACACGTCTTTTCATCCTGTGTGTATGCTGTAGTGTGTGGATCTCTCTCATTGGACGCCATCTTTGTAGGAAAATTGCAACTGCGTATACAACGCCAGCAGGTGTGCGTACATGTACTTGCGCTGTGCAACATGTTTTAAACTTGCGCGCGTGCTGATACAAATCTGTTCACAATATGGCGCAGCCGATACGCATCAAAAAATTAGTAAACGGAAGTGATGAAGTGTTGTCATTTGAGAGAGACCAACATGTAGTCCCTTCATATGAAGACAATACACGTGTACACTGGACTCTGTGAGCCAATATGTACACATGGTCAATGTATGTCACTGAGCTGTCAAGAAGGAGGGATTAATAGCCCTGGTATGGATCTCATGTGCCTGTGTTGTAGCCAACCAGCAAGATATGTGTTGCAAAAATGCTTGTAACATGCATTGCCAGTCAGTGTGACAGTAACTGAACTCACCTAGGCACCTGCCATTCTTATAGTATGTCAGAGTTCCATACCACATGTCCAGGTGCAGGCCTAGGACGGTCCCCTGGCCAAATTTACTGCAGTAGGCCTTCCCCTGGCTGCCTCCCTGGTAGAAGCGGCCGGTGTACGACAGTCCACAGCTCTCGGAGTTGGTGTCGCTGCCCAGCATATTGCAAAACGTGTGGCTGTACTGGCCAAGGTCGATCTGTTTGGTACCTATGCCAACCATCTGGAGGTAAACAGACGGTCAGTTATCCTCTATCAGAGTTTTGTGCAGCCGCAATTTGCATGGTCAGACTTTTGAAAATACGGCCAGCTTTTCCAAGTGCGGCGAAACAATATTAAAGCAAAGCCTTGCTACACTCTGTGCAAGATACGTTACATTACCAATCCCAAACTGGCATTTTGTTGAGAAATTTTAAAATAGTTGTAAACAGACCTATACTGAACTCCCCAATTAACCCCTTTACGCCGGGAAACTGCTCTACCCGCGGCTCAATGGGAGGATGAGTGCATACCACGCTTGCATTCTATTCATCATGAACTTGCGGTTCAATGTGGGCCTGCTGGCTACTGCTCTGCATTCTGTGCAGACCGCAGTTCAGCAGTCACGGTAAAAAAATCCTGGCGTTAAGGGGTTAAAGAGTTATAATTCCACTCCACTCCTGACCACATTTTCCTGAATCCTGGCTGAAACCCTGTTCTCCACACACACTGTGCACTGATTCATGTTAGACAAATCCTGTTACATGATCACGTTATTCAGATTTAAGTTAACTCAGGAACGGCTTATCTCACACACACCATTGCTGTCCCGTAGACGGGCGAATCCATTTTAATCTCCCAGAAATGTTGTCCCTCGGACATCGGTTGGGTACCCCGGGCTGCAGCAGTGCCACAACTGTAGTCCTGATGAAAGCATACCTGGGCTCCAGTCTTGCCCAAAACGTACACGCATGCATCAGAGGTCTCTTCCTCATTCCAAACCCAGTCTAGTTGTCCTTTTTGAAGAGAAAAAGTAGAGCCACAACAACATATCAATTAAGAATCACTACAGAGTTTTGATAGATTGCGATAACTGTTTCCTATACAGAATCAATGGCACTTTACTACCCTCCATTCTAAACACTGGTACATCTGAATTTTGTACAATCTCTATTAAAATGTGCATCGGGCACATGAAGCCTGTGTGGAGGAAAATGGCTGCAAACAAGAATTGCCACTAAAAATTGCAATCAATAACCGTTTAACCTCTGCAAACCAAAAGCAATAGCTTGACAAGTTGCTAATTTTTGTTTATTATTCACTCTTTCAGATTTACAACTGTATGAACAGCCACAATTGACACTTGTGGTTAAAGGAGAGAAAACAAAGGGTCAACGGCCTCCTTTTTTTTATCAAAGACAATCAGGCAGTATCTCAATAGCCTTGATCCTATGTGCAGGTCACTGGAGGATTAATTCCCTGTAGTTTGATAAAAGAGAACAGGAAGCGATAAATCTATTGACATTAATGTAGACTGTAAACAGGGGTTTATATATTGGCTGAAGCCATGGATAACTGTTGTGGAAATGCCTCCGCACATGAAGGGTTACAACAAAATACATATACAAGCTGGAGATTTCAATTTGCAACTTAATTCAAGACTGGTGTCCAAAGTTTGAGAAGATGGGTCAATCGATGCTGAGTTTTTTTTTTTAATTTGATCAATTATTGAATATTTAATCATTATTTGGACATCATCTGTTTCACATCACTTGGATGTCCATCCTCCCTCTTTAACCAGGGGAAAGACCTCTTTAACTTGGGGAAAGACCCCTGTTCCTAAAACTCAATTTTGTTTTGCCTTTGTAGGAATTTGGTATAACCCAATATCAAACATTCAATCAAATGGAAGGTTTAGTAGTTAAGTACTCATTATTTAAATTCACTCGGCCTTGATCTTGTTGAGAGAAATGTGGATATTATTTCTCATGTGGCTACATGTACAGTCTTATCATGGAGAAATCATTTCTCCATGGTCTCATGAAGTTGCTTATGACATGTTTTGTACAGGGGGTACTCAGGAATGAAATGCATAAACTTGGAGAAGGCTGAGAAATTTTTGGCAGAGATTGGCCACCAATAGTTGGGTCAGCCCAACTGCGGCACTACATCATACATGCACAGTTGGGACTGCCCCAACTATAATTGGGATAGAGTCTAACAGACCCTATAGTTGGGACATAACATCTCAACATGGGCAGTTTGTTTGCTGTTGATTGCACAATGCTACAACTGTGCACCAGACTTTTACATCTGTTGCATTTTCTTGGTCTGACAATCTTACTGAAGCAATATTGTTTAATGCACTCTTATTTTGGCCACATATTTCCTGTCAACATGTTTGAATTATATGTAATTATCCACTGTACTGAGACTCCTAAGTCTCCTAACCACCTGCAACACAACCCACAACAAACAACATGATGGTCAAACCATGAGTCACATTGTTATCTGCAGTGACTTCCTTATAAATGCTGCTTATATCATGAACCATGGAGGATGGAATGACCCAACACACTGAGCACATTAACAGATTTTTACTGGGCACCATTGAAAGTTGACAGTTTTCAACTTTGCAAAGGCCTTTTGATGAAAATGTGAACATCATATAGTGGGTTTCAGCATACTTTTGTGTTCTCATGAAAAGAGTTAAGTACATTTACTACTTTTAAAATCATTTTCAAATCCACACAATCCAAAACCAGGAACTTAAGTCATGCGAACTGTTAGTCTTTGGTCATTGTTGATACACAAATCCTGGTTAACTGATAATGTTTTGTTATTACTTGTGTGCCTATCTATTGCCCTATGGACAAAGCCTGGGCTTACAGTCAACAATTATAGATTAGTAAAGGAGTAATTTTTCAAATGTCCAGAAAAAAACCTATAAAATACTAGAAAGACAAGAAATACTCACTTAAAATACAGCCTTGACAGGAAATGTTTCTCGATGTTTGTCTTGCTTCCTTTTTCATGACTGGGTGCTCACCATCTGAAGAATGGCACGTACAACAAGTCCTTTCCTTTCTCTGGTAAAACCCCTCATCGTCATGTTTTTCTCCACCTGACACCAAAGTCATGGGCAGGGGGTCATTAGGCAAGGTTTCCAGGTATCTGGAAGAAAGTTGTGCTTCTCTTCCATCGGTGGTTGAGGAGTCCAGTTTCCTGGATGTGGGCCCACCGGTGATTCCCTTGCAATTTGACCCTATGATCTCTTGAGGTGCACAAGCGATGCCCGTGGCTGGATCACTTGTTGTATCACGTGCAAGTGAAACAGGATGCATTCCTTCCAACCCCTGACTATCTTGACCCTCGCCGGTCGCCGCGACCTTGCCACCTTGTTGATAAGCCCCAAACCCGGATACGCTGGCACTGCTCGACGCTGCTGATGACGATGAGGGGGACGGTCGTGTTCGCTTTGATGGCTGCGGTGAGCAGTCTGTTTCCGTGGGACTCTCCGGCGACTTTCCTCGAACTCTGCTGCCTTTCTTGGTTTGATTAGTCATCCTGCACTTCAGCTGAAAACAAAGTTGACAGACGTGATGTGTTCTAGTTAAAATTTGTTACAGTAAACATGGTAATAGTATGGGGGTAGGAAAAAAGTAACTACAAGTTCAACTTTAATACTAATACATATGTAGTCTCACGTACGTACGTAGACATCTTACATTTTCTGTTATGAAACGACGCCCTCTTGTGATGAAAACCAATGATGCATTTTTTGAGCCGCTGTCCGTAAACTTCCTTACGGCAACAATGAGGTCCCCCACCAGCGTCTCTTGTAATTATGATGCACTCCTGCTATAGTTACTAGTGATAAATGTTAGTGTCTCTTCAGTATTATTTGATAAAACTGTCCTTTTTTCATCTAGCTTAAATTGATACGTGCGTACATGTATTCTCCCATCGTAAGTCGGCCGATAGTCACCATGCAACTCTTTGAGATTGATGCAATAGCGAAGCAGAAGACACGCAGTGATTATTGCCCCAGCTTTAAAAATTATGCATTTATGTGTCCAGCTATTTGAAGTTTTCTTCTTTAGGGAGGGGTGAGCTCAGTGGCGAGTCCAGCTTTGTGTGTGTGTGGGGGGTTCAAAAGGCTTCGGGCACATTCAACATGATGTTGGGGGAGAAAAAAAAAACAATCGAAAGCCGTCCCAACATCCTTGCTTTTGTTTGTTGGAGTTGTTTTCTTTGGATTTTGGTGCTAATATTTGATAAACAAGTATACCGATAGCAAACTTATGAAGTACAAAATCCATGGGGGGGGGGTTCCGTTGGATACGCCAGTGGGTGGCCGTGGGCGTCGACAGGAGGGGTGACGGCTCTCGGGGGGGGGGCACAAATACTCGTCAGTGGCAGATTTACAAGACACCTCAAATAAATTGGTAATATTCCCCAGTCGAATTTTCTTTCGCCCACCCAGATATGGGGGGGGGGGTGCACAGTGGGGTTGTAACGCCGTGCCGTCAGCTCTATTTCTTGCGTTCATTGCCTTTTCAAAGAGGCGCATTTGAGTTGCCAGAAGGGCAGCCCTGTGTGGCCCGTACATATTCGTGAACCGTTCGATTGTTTTTTTTTTATAGAAACGAAGATAATTTAAAAGGAATTTCTGTACTTCCGACTTCAGTTTCAGTGGAGCCGCGCCTACAACAATAATTTTATCGTTACTTTAGTCGAAAACTATGTGCATAGTTTTCTTACCACAGAGAGTCGCATATAAGGGATTTTTTTGTTAAAGGAAAAATGATTACACAAATAGGTGAAAATATCTACTTACCAGTGCATAAATGCCAAACTTCAAATAAAGCCAGTAATTTACAGAGTTGGTAACCAGTCAACTTTAGCAAGTCTAAGTCAAGTCTCTTGTCGACAACTGATTGTTACAAGTCAAGTCACGAGTCACGAAAATAGCGATTCGAATGAGTCCGACTCGACTGAGTCCGAGTCCAGTAAGGCACTAACCAGGGTTTTGCCTGGCGGGCCTCAAAAATTAACTTCCTGAGCCGTCTATAGTTTGTGTTAAGTTCATTGGCCTCAACTACAACCCCCGTCAAAATATTTTGACCTTTCTCTTGATCTTAGTTGCACATGATATTATTCAATAAATGTATATCAATGAATACCAGTCAAATACAGCAGAGGCGGATCCATTTTTTTGTTAGGTGGGGTGTTGCGAATATGGGGGGGGGTAGGGAGTGTTACTGCATGTAGTTGTCGCCGTTAATGAAGCAGTTTAATCTCTTTGTTTTGTCCTTCACCATACACGCAAAATAAGACACCTACATCGCAGTACAGTTTATGCTTTTTCACGAGGTCTTTCAACCTAAATTTAGATGTGGCGATTTTTGGTGGGAGTATTTCAGTTTTCTTTTATTCCCCAAAGCGTGTAAAAAGCCCAAAATTTAGCCGTATCCTTAGAAGATCCATAAAACACCCCTCTCCCTCATTTGTATCCCCTGAAAATTTGGTTCAGGATCGATCCAGTGAAAGATTTAACCATGGCTGGCAGTGTGTCACAATCCTACCAAGGGTGCACTGAACCAATTCAAGCTCCATTGAAAATATTAGTTTAAAATCAACAAAGTTTGGAGTCCCATGGCAGGCAACTAAAGTCCCCGAAGCCTCTCAAATGAAAAACAATGTGTCGTTTGGTCCTTCAGATTTCAATTTGATTTTCAATTTTTAGTAGGTTAACCCAGGATGAAATTTTTAACTATCCGCCAAAAACAAACTTATCCTCCCAAAAGTGAATGTTCCCAAGCCTCCTCACCAGTTTATGGTGAATGACATCCCTCACCATTTTAGGGCTCTTCTGACAAATTTTCAATCAAATTTTTGTCTGCTTTGCCCCTATGAATCTACAGAAATGATCATCATGGCCATACTGACACAATCCCACAATTTCTTGGCCCACACAGACCCCTCTTTTCGAAAGAATGTGAAGCAGTACTTTTTAAGCGTCTCCGCCTGGCGCGGAGAATTGTCCTTCAATTGGGACACTGCACACCAAATATAGCGCCGCTATGCGGCGCTCAATAATTTTTGCTGCACACCAGCACTACAGCCTGCTTTCTCGTGAAACAATTTTAGTGAAGGAATGATCTGATGTTTGTTATTCAATGGTTAGGCCATTTGGGTGCAAATAAATTTGTTTTATAACATAATATATTTTGTAACTAATATATTAGTTTGATTTCATTTCGAAAAATTTAATAGAATTGAATTTTTTAAGTCACGGACGAGGAGTCGTCACCAACAAAATGGCGGAAAACGTGGAGAGTGTAGATGCTCGAACCGCTGAAATTCTTCAGGCCGTAGCTCGTCATGTCAACTGCCTCTCCGAAAACAACCGTGCTACCAAAAAGCGGGCACTTGAAAGCATCCGCAGAGAAACTTTGGGCAAGAAGCCGGCTCTGGACCCTGCTGTACTGCAGCGTGTGTTTGAAAGCTTACTGAAACAGCTTTTGAAATGCTTCTCAGACTGCGTTGAAAAATGTCGTGAGCTGGCAGTCGATGTTGTGTCAGATTTTCTCGACGCTGTACCAACGCCAGAGGGGCCATTGCCGTATCTGATGCCAACAGTTGTGCAAAGGTTAGGGAACCAAGAAATAGTGGAAACGTCAGAGGAACTTAGGTTGAGCCTTGTTAATTTACTTGTGAAGCTCACCCAGTTAACAAAAAAGAAACTTGCTGCTTACCTTGATGACTTGATAAAAATTCTGCAACGAACTGTTGTGGATCCATTTCCAGACGTCCGCAAAGAGAGTTGCAGGTGCATCAGTCTTGTGGCTCGTGCCATTCCTGAGCATTTTCACATGCAGTCTGAGAGTCTCATTGCACCCCTGCTGCATTGCATTAGCCACCAACATGCAAAAGTTCGCACACTGTGTATCCTGACTATCGGCGATGTTTTGCAATTCGGCAGCCACAAGCCCATGGACCAAGTCATATCGCACCTTGCGCAGAGGCTGTTTGACCAGTCGCCACAGGTGCGAGTAGCTGTGACTAATGTTGTGGGTGGATGGCTATTGGACTTTGTGGACCGTTACTCCTATCATCATAAGCTGATTCCACTCTTACTTACCAGCCAGACTGATGAGATGCCAGATATACAAGAGAGGGTGAAAACTTTGAAGAGAATTCCACAATCGGACCATCACAATTCTCAAGTGTTATGAATATATACCTGTTGACCCTGCTTCTGAAACCTGTTTCCCCTTTTTACCAAATCCTTGCTAAAATCCTTCTCAAATAAACAGGCTGAACAGGTGTGGAATTGTAGTGTTCGTGACACTCAAGAGGCGTGATGGGCCGGTAGGGAGTTCTTCCCAACATTTTGTTGATAAATTTTTATAGGAAAAAATGTCAAGTGCCTTCGGACAAGGTGCTTTGACGTCTGCAGTGTCAAGATCAAGTTTCAGACTTTGTTTACTCGTCTTTTGACTGTGCTATTTCCAAGAATTCCAAAGCCTTGTTATGCCTCTGCCGTAAGCCAATTAATTAATTCAGCCCTTAAATTTCTTTTAAAGAAGAATGTAAGACTAGTAGAATATATTTTTTGGTTTAATTTTTTGTGGAATTGGTTTGTACAGTAATACAACTTATGACCAATGTCCATTATTGTTTAAAATTTATTGAAGAAATCTGTGCAGAGATCAAGTCTGAATATTATGCTGCTGTTCTTGATGAGTACTTAAGTAAATGGAAATCCTTGTAGTATAAAACCAAACCAGCAAATGACATAAGCCTGACCCCAGGGTGTGTGAAAAATTATTTTGAAATAGAATTATTGGAGTTAAATGTGTGGCATTGTTAAAAGGGATTCAGTACAGAGTCATGTGGCTTTTGATTTTTCCAATACCATGCCTGTTCTTTATTTTTCAGGCTTTCAAACTTTGGGATGAGGTTGGAACCAAATACGCCAAGGAGAATGAGGAGGAACTGAAAGACCAGATGGACTTTGAAAGGATTATAGAGTTACCTCCTGGAGAAAGTAAGTGATTCAATCGATGGACTTTAAGGCAAAGTAACAACAAAAATCATGATTATTACCACAGAAGTTGAAATACAGAGAAGATGTCATTCCTGCACAGTGGTAGACTTTTGAAGATATCAAAAGAAACATGCTTAGAGAAGTTGGGGCTGCATTCCGCTAAATGGCCAGATTTCCTTGCGCAAGCTCGTTAACATTTTTGGAGTTATTTACAGTTAGAGGTGCAAAAATTGGGACCGATCATAGAGAAATTTCTGCAAATCATTAATGTGGGACTCGTGGCTTCCAACTCGTGGTCCAGCCTGTAAACCTATTGCACATAGTGGTAGGCAGCTACATTCAGACCTGAGGGCATGGTTTTACTGGTTTATTTTGGTGTTTCAGGGAAGGGCCATTAAAAAAAATCAGATGGCTAACCGTCACAAAATTGACAAGAACAGTGAACTTTTGACCATAATCTTGAATTTCCAGTGAAATACATTGAGCCGACCTTTTCCCGAGAGTCGCCGAACGGTGCTATTTCTGTCCGAGTTCCCATTGTTTTCTGTGGGTGCATATTTTGTGCAGTGCTGCCTGGGGGGGGGAGGGGGGAGATTTCATGCTAAAAGAGCCAGGCTGTATTGTGAAGGCACTCATAATTGTACATTTGTGGAGTTTCACTTCAATCCAACACGTGGTTTTGTTGTTGTAGTCATTTGGAGTCCATAACCTCATACGGGTTGGCCCTTGTACATTGAGCGTGCCAAAGGAAAAAGTGTACGTGTTTGGCTGACTTTTTTTTTACGTATTAGAGATAATGCCGAAGGTTTGCCCCCTTTCCTTCCAAGTGTCTTTGAGGTTCACAGTTTGAAGTTGTGATTTGTGTGACTTGAAGATATCCAACTTATGTCTTTGGGATCTGTAGCGAGAAGACCTAACCTGGGCTGCCGTATGCTGATCTTCCGCAACCTGTCAAAGATCCTGCCAGGCCTTTTGCACGATCTGACCGACTGGACCGCGTCCAATCGCATCATGTCGGCCAAGCTGTTACGGGTGCTGCTGCTGAATGCGGAGGACCACACCACACAGCACATGGAGAAACTCCTGTCGGGAATGTACAAGGCCTGTGGCGATGAAGAGAAAGAAGTAGTGGCAAAGGTGAGGATGTCCTGAGCAAGTTAACTCGCAGTTTGGGTAGCAAGTCAGTTTACATGTAGGGCTGGGTCAGCTTCAATATTTCAGTAACTGAATACTCAACCTCCCATTCAATTGAGTATTCAAATAAGTGGTTATATAGTAGGCTTGTGCGGTACTCCCGGTTCCGAGTGGAACTGTATTAAAAAATAAAATCGGAATCGGCAGCTCTGCTTTTATGAAGAAGCGGGTACCCACCATTGGCTGGTCCACATTCAAAGAGCCGACTCCAAACATCAAATCTGAGTCCCAGTCACCACTCAGCACCCGCGAGTGACAACTCGAAACATCGAATCCGAATCACCACTTCATGTGAATACATGTACATGTACGTATAGCATGCTGTACATTTAGCAAGGCACCTTTCCACACAAGGGAAAATGCGTACAAAAATGAACTGTAAAATACCCTTGTGACTGGGCACCGAACCACATTGGTTATTGCACATGTGGCGCAGCAGAGCTTTGATGAATGGAAGCCATGAAGCTTGAAGACTGTTTTACATGTCGCTGTGACTTAAATATTGGTGAATTTTGCCTGTTACTTGCGTGTGAGTTGTTTTACTTTCCACATATACATGTATGACACCAGGCAAAATCGTTGAATGGTTAAGAAATAGCCTAGCTATTGCCCAAACTTATGCACCAGAGTCCACAACTGTTACTACCCAGCGAGGGTCTCGGTACGGTTCTCAACTTCTCACTTCAGAGCCGGTTCCATGCATGGACCCGGGCAATGGCATAGCTTACAAGATAGTAGATGTATTAGAGTTTTAGATGCGCCCACTGTGGACGAATGACCAATTTATGCATAGTTGTTGGCACATGTTCAATAAGTACACGTGATCCAGTCCACACATACGTTCCACGGCATGGTCGACGATTCCATTTACTATTATGGGTACTTGCAATGGCGAATCGTTTGTTGCTCTGATTGGAGTATTTTTATAAATGCGCGTAGAGTGGAAAATAGTGCAGGAGGAAGCAGTACTGAGTTGTATCATGGTTGTACATGTTGCAGATTTATTTCAACCATGACTAGTCTACGAAGAGGTCAAAATAAAATTCAAAATAGCAGTCCTTTTGTTTTAAGGCGTGCGATTGCACTCCCACGCCATCGCACACCTAAGAGCTTCCTGAGAAGTGCAAATAATTGCATGCCTGAAACCATCCATACTGCACTCCTTGACCTGAGTTTACTTTGTTATTATACTTTGCAATTTGTGAGAAAAATGAAACAAAAATAATCAAAGAGTACCCCAACCTAACAGTAAGTGATGACAGAATCATTTTTTATTCTCCCGGCAAAACAGTTGAGCACAACAGCTCTGTCAGTGTACAATCATTCAGCGCACGCACATCGCACAGCGCTGCCGCAACCGTTGCTGCATGCGTAATGCTACATACATCGGACTGTACATGGCTTTATGTGCTTCTACACATCAAACGCAGTGCCACGAGATCACACCACTTTTCAGTCAAATTTTCTCAATGAATTCCCTGATTAGCCCGTGTTTTTCTTGGAGATGTCTGTCCTGTAAGTTATCTCGATCACAACAATGGCATTTTTCGGAAAAAAAATTTTGGCTTTTACTCGCATCTGCACAAAACGATCTCCAGAAGTCGACATGCTTTCACGATGCAGGCTCCCGCGCCCTGTGCTTAGTGAAACAACAAATTCCTTTGAAGTCAAGACTGGGACCAGACCAGTCAATCACAATGCACAACATGGAGAGATCATGCCAACGTGGATCGCAGTAGATTTTTGTGTGCAGACATGTAAACTTCCCGATGTTTCCCAATAAACTTTTTTAGAGCTATGAACGGTAATAACTCACAGGAAGGAGATCTGGCAAAGAGAAATCTCAGGAAAATCGGGACATTCATTTGAAAAATCTAATTTAATTTAACTGGGGGGGGCAGTGGCAGGAGTTGGCGAGGCCACCACAGAATCCAGGTGCCTTAACCAAAAGCAAGTCCTGGGCAGCTAACAGACTGCCGCAAGTCGCAAAGAACTCGAAGAGCGAACTCACGATGTGGGTATCGCACAGTTGTACCCCGAACCAATCGACAGGACGGAAATAGTAAATCTGTGCATTGTCCTGTTTCCTAGGTTAGCATGGTTACTAAGGACTGAAACCACCGCACCACTGTCCTTACTAACCAAGCGATCCCGGGTCCGTGAACAGACGAACTACTCGGAGCAGGGTGAAGAGCAAAATCTCTCTCTAGAGCTTAAATCTAATGCTCAAAAAGAGAGAAGCAATTCCAAAGAAAAAAATGCTGATTTTTCCGGGGATATACAAGTAGAAAATGAGAAGCAAAACAAAACCCAGAATAACGAGACAACCACTCTCAAGATATTTTGATAAGAAATCGACAAATATGCACAAATTGCCACAACTAATTAAGGTATATACAGACACAAAATAGAACAAGCAGAATAAATCAAATGAACTCAATTTTATTCTGAAATCAAGAAATATATACAAGAAACAAACTGCGCCACCAGGCGAAGTCTGGAAAAGAGATACAAAAACTAGGTCAATACAAAAATCAGTCTGCCGACCAGAGCAAGACTGAAAGGGAACGGCAAAAATAAATATATATATACAGGGGAAAAGGAACTATCTTACCGTTCACAAGAACGAAAATGAACAAACAAACGATGTGATTGAGAAATTACACTGAAAACACAAGAAGCGAAGGAAAAACTCTAGAAATTTTCGGAGCTGGACCTAAACACGTCCGATAGTAATGCGCTAAGAAAAGAGGAAGAACATGGCGGCCACCTTCATAGGAGTTGAGTGAGTGAGGGCGCACTGCTGGTGATTGAGAATTTAGTCAACAGAAATAATGGACGAGGAAATAATGCATATGTACTGGTAATCTGCGTAGGTTGCAGGCAGAAGACTTTAAATTTTTAAAAGTGCGGAATCTGACATATAAGTAATCTTGATGATCACAGTGATACATTGGTCACATTTTTATCTGAAAAAAACCCCATATTTTGTCAATCACTACAACATCATCGCTCCCTTTGTGAAGAATGTTTGTTGACTTACAGAGGTGAAATAGGGGGGCAATATTTGCTTTTTACATGTATTGGACATATCCTTTCGAGTTTGCTTGAAGTAAGCAGGTGTGATCTGAATCTGTTGCACCATTTTGTCATTGGTTTTGTTGATTGTTTATATGTAATGTTGACCCAATTTTATCTCTCTATATTACTATGTCTTGGTTGACCCAAGGTTTTGATTCATTTTTCAAAATCACGGGCCTAGAAAAATTACGCGCCTGGAAATGTCCAGGATTTTTTTTCACACGCCTGCAATTTCCGAATCACAAGGACTGAAATACCCACTGTGGATTATCTTAAAGCCCACGAAAGGCCATTCGTGAGTGGCACTGGCGTGCGTGATGGGTGCAGCAGTGACAGATTTTTAATGTGTTTTATTAAACATTTTTCTTTATATCTTTGGGAGCCAGTTCTAACTAGGAATCACGGTCCTTAGCTGGAGCTAGAACCAGCTCTGAGAACTCTGGAACCGCCCAACACTACTATTCCCCGAATTCCATGATGGCATCGGGGAAAATAGTGAGATAGCTTCTGAAATGAAGTGACCGTTGAAGAACAGATACAAACAGCAGTAAATGTTAAAACTTCTTGATGTGTAATGTTTTGAATTTTGTGAAGACAGAAGTCACCTTTTTTAAGTTGTTCACTTAATCATTGGAATCAGGTTGTGAAAAGTGGATCAATCAGTAAGTTGGAGCCAAGGTTTTTTTTTTGGCCCATTTGTTTTGGCCTATTGATCAGCTGCGTTTCAGTATCTTGTTGCTGCTCCTCATAAGGTTATGTAATCCCAACAAATGAATTTTGTCCATTTTGTGTCTCAAAATTATACTGTACTTCCAAATACTCAATTCCCCCTCAAAAATATCAATATGAATATTGGATGAATGACATAATATTAACTACATCCCTTAAGTACATGTAATTGTATATTTGATGAACATTTATAAGGTATTGAAAGGAATGATGTTGTGACATTTTGTTAGAATAGTTTGAGAGTTGTTTCAGACAGGGCTTTGCAATTTGTTTTGAACTATTTTCACCTCTGTCATATGAAACACAGATGCTCCAGTCGGCAGAGCTTGTAGGCTTCTTTGTGGACCCACAGATCTACTGGAAGTTGATGTCGCCCTCTGTCCAGTCCGCTCAGAGCCCCGGCGTGCTGATGACTTTGGCTGCGTTGATGCGTGGCTCAAGGCAGGAGGCCCTTCACCCACAGCTGCAGAGTGTGTGCGACGTGTTGGCCGATCCCGAAGTCTGTCGTAGTGAACAGGTCAGGGCCAGCCAGCTTGAACTCGCTGCACTCTTTTCAAAATCTCATTTAAAAAAAAACCAAAATTGAACTGAAGTACAGAGCATGATGTTGTGGCCGGACATACGACATATGCCCCCATTTGAAGTATTTGTCCAACCAAAAGCAGATCTGCCCAAACAAAATGTCCATGGGAGCTGTAAAGGCAGAAGTCCCACATGCAGAATCATGTAAATGTTTTTACCCTGGGTTTTGCACTCACAACATTTAAACTGTGAGAGTGTGATACGTGACCTTGGTTTACGTCTGTTCACAGACTGACATTAGAACGAAATTGTTTGTGCTAAAACATTCTGTCTGACCATATTTTCTGCCTAATTTCATGCTCTCGCGTTGTATCTGCTCTGAGCGGAAACAAAAGAGGGCGTGTTTTTAAATGAAATTGACAGTCCTTTGGTACAAATTCAAGGCGTAGGCATGCAAGTTTATGCATGTTTTGATGCAGAGCTCACTGAGCACTGCAACCACTTTATTGTGGAATGTATGGGCTTTGCGTGCACACTGAGCGCGTGCAAGAACCCTGTTGGGAAACTTCATTCCAGTCTGTCTTTCTTTTGCCGGTGAGGATGCACTTCAATTCAGGGCAGATAATTACAGTAATATTGAGATGTAGAAGGAAAACATTAATGTGGACTTCAGTGTATCCTGTGAAACAAGATGAACTATTTGACTGACTTTCACTGCGTAGGTAACTGCGTTGCTGCATGAGTGTACCAGTTTTGGTATGAGATGTAGTTTATTGACAGTCCACTGCAGTCAAACTATTTTTCACAAACAAGACCATTAAATGATTATATCACAGTCATTTACTCTGAGTCACATAGCGTAATATGGTTAACCTTAACTCAAGAAGTTACAGTCATTTGCTCTGAGTCACATAGCGTAATATGGTTAACCTTAACTCAAGAAGAGGGGGCAAGTGTGCTAGCAAATGTACCAGAAATGGTCAGGGTGTGATGTTTTTCTATTTAAGACAGGCTCTGTGGCTTACAGGACATGATATTGGAACAGCTTCAAATTGACTTTCCATGAGTTTCTTGTTCCGTCACCATTGCCAGCAAGGATTGTGAAAAAAGTATTCACTTTTATTTTATGTCTGAAAATAACTTTTACTTCAACCTTTAACTCTTGGTATTTTTGCCATGAAACATCCAAAATCCGACACTTTACTTTGACCGTACAACATCTCTTTTAGTAGGATTATTATTACAGGATTTTACAGGCCTTCACCCATAAAAATTCAACCAAATCATATGTTCAATTTGACAAGTGTAGAGGGTATGGTAAGCTGATGGTATGCCTATCACATTTGGAGAGTTGTAGTGAACACTGCTCCATGCACCAGAAATAGGTCATCTGTTTCTAGTGAAGCATTTAAGAGAAAAAGTTTTAAACGAAATGTCCTTGATCTTCCTCAGAGCTCCTACCAGATCCAACTTGTGTCGTGTGTTGAAGCCATCATGTCCACAGGCAGGGAGCAGTGCTCAGAAGTCAGTCTGCCATTGTTTACTGTACTCGTCACTGTGTTGGCGTTGGCAAGGGATGACGCACTGAAGACAAAAGTGGGTGTAGCTGGGTTACTTTTCAACCGAATGGTTGGTTGAACACCTGTACAGACAGGCATTGATCTGTGGCATGCTTGCAACGCATCCCACTCCATAACTTCCACAAAATAATTTATTTCTCCCTCCCTGCCTCTTTTTTTTTGGGGGGGGGGCACGGCTCCGTTAACCCCCTTTCCCCCGCTCGTTGGTTATACATTTCCACGTAACTCCGAGCAAGGAATTATTTAATCTTCAGTCATAGACAAGTGGACAATTTCAGTTAGTTCTTCTCCCCCTCCCACCCCTCTTTTTTTGGGGGGGGGCGGTATGGGGGAATGGCCCCATGCCCCCTCGCCCCCTCGATCCATCCCTGGTTAAACTCCTTCACATGACACTGAGCAAAGAGCATCTTCAGTAGCACTTTGACCCCTGGTAATGGTTTTTGCCCATATGAGTGACTTGAAAGAAACATTGACATGAACTTTTGTTCCTATTTCTTCTATGTGCTTTTAACCTTCAGACCAGGGAAGTTATAGCATCTCTTGCCTCGACGCAAGGCATGGAGGACAGCAGCGCCCTCTACAGGCAGCACAGCCGCCAGTTCCTTGCCATGCTGAAGGGAAACTACGAGCAGTGGACAAATTTTTCAGTGGAGCGGCCAATCTTTGACACTTTGCTGAGCGAATCTGGTGAGCATCTCATTGGAATAAACCACACAACCTTTCACCCCAAATATTAGAGCAATGCTGTATTTGTTTTGTGCGTGAACAAAGTCTAGGAAGTCAACAAAGGGGAACCCTGCGTTGAACGTGAACACCGCACCTACTGCTCTGTTGCAAAATGTGATTTTGCAATAAGAAATCACGTTTAGATGACTTGAGACAGTTTTTGTGGCCTCTTGGCATATCCTGCCTATTTCAAAAGCGGCACTTTTGGGGCCCAAATAGTGCAACCTACAAACGATATAATGAAGGTTATAAAAAAGTCTTGTTTGAAAACAAAAAGGCATCATTTTTCATTTGAAGATAAAAGATAAATTTGTTTGTAACGTCCAAAGATCTGTTCAGAGTGCTAGCCTATTCCATTTTTTAAGCTAGACAATGTTGTGGGTTTGATATCGTGTCTGAGTAATGTACGCATCCATTGTTACTGCAATCTATACATTTTAGTTCTCTGCCTAGCATTAGTTTTGCTGCTAATCAACTGTTAAATGCCATGATAAATTGATTTGTTCATGTAGTGCATTTCAGTATGGCACTGTATTAATTTGATATTTCACCAGGTGTGTTGGTATGTGAGCTCCTGGATGACGTCTTCCCCGTCCTGCAGGCCAACCTCAAGCCAGATAAAGACCCCGAGCTGCGGCTCAAGTTCTTCTCCCTGCTCTCGCGGCTGGTGATGAGAGCGGGTGAGTTGGCCGAGGCCAGAGCAATATTTGGCGACTTCTCGCCGGCTGTCGTCCGGGAGATGGTCATCCCCAACTGCGTGTGGCACGGTGGCCGGACGGCGGCGGCCATTCGGACCACAGCCATCTCGTGCCTCTGGGCACTGCTGCAGAGCGGCCTGCTGACCGCTGAACAGGTGAGTGACAGGAGATTTCTGTCTGACCCCTGACCTCTTTGGTGAGATCATCTACTGACTAGACATTCTAGCACCACTCGTAGAGTGCACTTGTGACCTACCGTTCCAAAACCAGGATTAACCAGGCTCCTTTTTTGGACAGTTGCTCTCTACATGCTAGTAATCCCCATACTTCAAAGTGATACAAAGCAAAAGAAAAAAATGTCTGCGGAAAGCCACGGTAATTTACAAGCAATAAGAGTTAAGGAATTTTGTTGTTCAGCGGTATGCTGCTGTCACATTCAAGATCGTGGCTAATATAATTTTTCAGCGTGGTTTTTCAAATCGAGGGACACATTCTAACAACTCTTGTGCATCTTCATATGCCAAATATCAACATATCTTGGAAGATCCAGTACAGCAAGATGGTCAGAAATGTAAATTTGAATCAAACTGGGGGTCTCCCAAAGTTTCTTTGTGTAGATGTGTTCCGTTCAAAACAAATCTTTTATCTTGACATTCAATCCTTTTGAAGAAACTTTTATAGACTCAGGTGAACATGACAATGAAGTGAAGTTGAAATCACAAATTCTTTGCATGTTCTTATTTTGCTTATTCCTGTGTTTAAACTTATGTTTAGTGACTTTAGAACTATGAAAGATTTGATTATTTGGACCTCCCCCACAATTTTACAAAAATGTGCTTCTGCGTCAAAATAAACCTGAGTTTGAATTAAAAGCAATAAATTTCACTGCATCAAACAGTCCAGCGGTCAGATTTACATGACCTAGCTGACATGTGTATGCACGTTCAGATCAACAGCGTCATGTCGGACCTCCAAACCCAGCTGACCTCCCTCTTGGAGGATGACAGCCGCTCAACCCGCCTCATCACCTGCCGCGTCTTCCGCAAGATCCTAGCCCTCTGCGGCTCCACCTTTGACCCTGACCGCCTGCACACGATGTACATGGAGCTCCTGAAGCGCATGGACGACAGCAGTGACGAGATCCGCCTGGCCGTGGCCAAGACCTTTGAGACGTTCTTCCAGTGCTTCCCCGCCGACTATGATAAGGTTCTGTACAGGGCGCACCTGGAGACGTTGTATAGAGGCCTGTTGGTGCATATGGACGACCCAGATCCTAATATACAGCAGTCAGTCCTAGGTAAGGTCTTGATACATTTGACGTCTTGTCACATTTGTCATGGTTTTCACTGCCCAAAACACGAGTTCTCTGTGGGGAAGCTTTGTGAAAGCCAAGCCAGGTAATGGATATTTTGGACGTCACAAACTCCACCTGTGTGTGAATGCACTGTAGAATAACATTGGTTTTCAAGGACTGATAAGTCAGAAAAATGCTTCAGAAGATTGTGCAAGAGTCTACTCTATCCATTTTCTTGTGGAGTTAAGAAAGATAATACATGGAACCAATTAACTTAAGAAATTCAGAAAAAAACTATGCCCTTGCGAAAACAAAAAAACACTGAATGCGAGCACATAGTGCTAGGTTACAGTTCTCGAAAACCAGAATTATGGGGTTAAGGAGTGTACTGAAAGTACCATGAGTGTCAGGGTGTGGTGTCAGTGATGATGTTTATGTCAGGGTTTAACCCCTTCACGGCGGGATTATTTGGACCGCGACTGCTGGGCTGTGGTATGCCCTGAATGGAGGGCTTTGTCCAGCAGCAGGCCCCATTGAACCAGCAGCTGCATGGTGAATAGACTGTATGCGTGGTATGCACTAATCCTCCCACAATGGTGCGGTAGTAGCAGTCCTCTGTAGCGAAGGGGTTAAGCTGAGTCCCTGAGTAGTCTCAGTCCATGGTTGAAGTCGATTCTGGCAGGTCACATGTTGCGACCTTGGGCAAATCTCATAACCTCAACTTGCCTCTCTCCTTCCAGGAGCATAAATTGCCTGTGACGGCAGAGATGGTCATTGTGGTCAATTAGTGAGGTATCCCATGATATGACTGCACTAAGGTGTACACTTTCCAAGGGGGCTGAGATTATTATACGTATAATTGTGGGCCCAATGAGTATGGATATTAATGATGTCAGTGCATTGAGACTTGGCGCAAAGTGAGCTTTATGAGAACTGTCCATTATTAGGTGAGGTTGCAGCTCATGGGGTTCAGTAAATCAACTTCGTTTTCTCACATTTTGAAGTCATTATATTTTCAGTAAAACCTTGTGCAGTCTTGGACCTTAATTTTCCCACGTGCGAGGATGAAGTTTGCAAGGCTTCACTGCCACGAACTGACTGAAAGTTTACATTCTACAACAGATTTGTTGAAGCAGGCCGCCCCTCTGCACCCTCAGCTTTTGCAAGAGGAGGTGGAAATGGTCCGACACAAGCATCGCAGTTTTGTGTTCTGTGACGAGCTCCTCCAATACATCAAAACTCTCAGTTGATGAATGGAACCTGAAGGACACTGGAGAGTTGGTCATCAGGTATGAAGCACCTATGCAGGGCTGTCACTTTCAGTACGTATGTCGTTTTGAAGGAAATCAGTGATCCATTGAACTTCTGAAACCTGTCTTCTGTCCAGCATGATTGTCTGATGTTGCATAAAATGTGGTAACATTTTACAACGAATATGTTACGTTACAACTTGTCGTCAACTTCTACTACATTTGTGCCGTCAACAAAGGAAAAAAAGCTAACAATCCCTTTCATTTCACTGACATGCGGCACTTGTGTCAGAGGTTCCATGTCTGGGTTTGTGGTTGCAACTTACAAAAGACACTCAGGAAGAGACCCTGGGAACAGTCACAGTAGCTTACCTGATGGGGAATAGAGAAAAGCTTTGCACCACAGACTTCGGTCATACAAGTATGTTGTATGAGCTGAAGAGGAAGGCACCTGTGGTCATTTCCATTCAATGAGTTATCGATGGTAAAAGACAGCTGGAGCGCATGACGTGGTTCATACTATCTTATACGATACTCAAGTGTGAGCCGAAAGCAATTAGATAGCACTCTGTGATCTTATGGAATGGTTGATACTGAGTTTGATTGATGGATTTTTTTATCTGGGGATTGGTCTCAGCAAGATTACCTTTGGTAATCTTCTTTGCATCTCAGCTAGTTTCTGTAAACAGGTTCATTAAGATAGCACTCCCAAATCCTCTGATTTCAATATGATTTTACATACACCCTTGGGGGTTAAGGTTAAAATACCAGTGGTACTTTAATAATTGGTATAAAAAGGTGGCTAATGTTAATTGTTTGAACCATTTCCACTCCAAAAGAAACTTCAAGTAGCGGTGTGAGGTACGTTTGCCTGACTCTGTAGCCTAGGCTTACGCTAGGTGTGGTTGTTACCCACATCTTTAATTGGGCATGGCTTTTTTACCTTCAATCTGTTTGGGCGAGAGTCCTTTATGGAACTTCGAAATATCTGGAAACAATTGTCATCCATATTCTATAATTATTGGTCAACATCCTATCGGTTTTTCTTTCCTCTTCCTTTACTTGGTGCAAAATACACATTGCCTGCATTAATTTTTTGTTTTTGCTTTGTAATATCAGACCTATTTTAAGTTGACCAGGTTTTCATAAGATTATTGATCTGTAGAAGGCAGTTAAACCTTCAATATTATTTTCATCAAACTGGTGTCAAAATAACTGCAAGATTTTACTGAAAATATTACAAAGGCCAGAGACAAGTTAAAAGTGTTAACATTGGACTGTGAAAGTAGAAAAATTAGAGAAAAGTAGCATTTATTAGCATTTATTAACATAACCAAAACTAAAGACAAACCAAAACTGAACTTTTCAGGTCTAAAGGTGGAGATGCTGTTACATTATTTACAATTACATTACATTGCAAGGGAATTTGCTTGGTCGATCTTCAACGTGCTCTTAAGACCAGCTCAGGAGAATGGACGTGACTAATGCCCGAGCCGCTGTCATGTGCATTATCAACGTTCACTCCCCTGAGCAAGGTCTTGAACGTTAACCTTAACAATCCTCAGTCCTCCAACAGGTGAAGGATTGAGGAGTGTTAGGGTTAATTTAAGATCGGCCAGCAATATTCCCATTCATCAATACCTTTTTATGCAGAGAGTAAAAAGACGTCAACATAGAATGGATTTCCAACAACTTTGTTCTACACTTGACTTTCATTCTCCCGAATACCCCTGTCCATTTTATAGTATATTCCTTCTGAAAGTTGTCCAATAGAATCCCCTTATGAAGTTGGCGCGTGCAGCGTGCACACAGACTCCTGATCAATCAGACCTGATCAATCAGACCTGATCAAACTGTTTCGTATCCTTGTGCCAGTGTGTGATTGATGCAACAGGCTTTATCACTTCTCAGCGGGCATTATCAAATGTTAGTACACGGCTACATGATGTGTTTCGACCAATAGGCATAGAAAAATTGTCCCAGGTATTTATGAATCTATATTCAGAGAATTTTGTACCTATTAAAGTGACTGAAAATTGAAGGGAAAACCCCCAAGCAAAAAAGTGCTCTCCCTGTTTCACCTCTGTAAGTCAACAAACTCTTCACAAAGGGAGTGATGATGTTGTAGTGATTGACAAAATATGGGTTTTTTTTCAGATAAAGATGTGACCAATGTATCACTGTGATCATCAAGATTACTTATATGTCAGATTCCACACTTTAAAAAATTTAAAGTCTACTGCCTGCAACCTACGCAGATTACCAGTACATATGCATTATTTCCCATTCCATTACTTCCGTTTACTAAATTCTCAATCACCAGCAGTGAGCCCTCACTCACTCGACTCCGGTGAAGGTGGCCGCCATGTTCTTCCTCTTTTTTTAGCGCCATTACTATCGGACGTGTTTAGGTCCAGCTCCGAAAATTTCTAGAGTTTTTCCTTCGCTACTTGTGTTTTCAGTGTCATTTCTCAATCACCTCGTTTGTTTGTTCATTTTCGTTCTTGTGAATGGTAAGACGGTTCCTTTTCCCCTGTATATATATATTTATTTTTGCCGTTCCCTTTCGGTCTTGCTCTGGTTGGCAGACTCATTTTTGTATTGACCTAGTTTTCGTATCTCCTTTCCAGACTTCGCCTGGTGGCGCAGTTTGTTTCTTGTATATATTTCTTGATTTCAGAATAAAATTGAGTTCATTAGATTTATTTTGCTTGTTCTATTTTGTGTTTGTATGTACCTTAATTAGTTGTGGCAATTTGTACATATTTGTCCTGTTATTTCTGACCCGCTTCCTGTGGACACGCAACCTGATTCCCCTTCTGGCCAACTTTCTTCCCAGCGGTCTGACTCAGGGAATTCCTCTTTCCCTTTCTGAGTTCATTTCAGAATTTGTCCGGCGATATCTGCCTCCTCCTCCGGCTACTACACATCCGGAGCCTTATTCTCCGCCTGCGGCCTGTTCCGGCGATTCTCTGGCTGAACCTCAAGGTGTCTTTCACCACACGGGGCCTTCTCAACCCACGATGGATGATAGTCATACGGTGGGTTTCGCTTTTGGTTCTGGCCAGTCTCCGGACGAGGATCAGCCGCTTTCGGTGAACGATCTTTCACGATCCAAGTCTCGCTTTCGTCTTTTACAGCGAGAAATGATACAAGTCATGGGGCTTCCTCCCCTGTCACCTGCTGATGACAGGGGGCGGCCTTCATTCAAGTGCTGTTTACCAGGAGAGTCCCTCGTCTTCCCCCCCCTTCCCAGAGTTTCCCATTTGTCGTTCCTGCATAGACGCTATGGACAGATTGGCGAAGGCCAAGCGGTGGAATTCAGGCTACCGTCCGTGCCGTTTTTTTTCAATTTCCCATCAGGTGATTATGATCAGTATCTCTCGGTGCCAGAGTTTCCCGACGCAACGAGAGATAAGATTTTTCCAAACAGGGGCAAGTCTTCCAACGTATTCCAAGATAGGAATCTCCAGTGAATGGAGACAGCTTTGAAAGATGTTGACCTGGCTGCTCGCTCTGGCATTCGCTGCATGTCCTTCCTCCTCCTCACTGAGTTCTTGTCCCGGGCTTGTGAGGAGGGCTGTGATATTTCTCCCTAGTTTGTGACCATGGCCTGTCACTGTCTCGATGATTCCTTGCTTACAGGGCTCGAACAGTTCGCCATGGTATCTCTTTGTGCTACAACCTCCCGTAGGGAATCGGCTATTCTGGCTATGAATATTCCCCACGAATCAGTTCATTCTGCCATCAAGAGTCTTACCCTGTTTGATAAAGATATCTTTGCGGGCCAGTTTATAGACTATAGGGCATGGCCCCTTTATTCCCTCCAATTATGATTTTTGCTCCCCCCATCTTGGCATTACCTGAAACATGTGGTTTGTGTGTCTGATGAGATCCCTACAGTTTCCCACATTCAGCTGTAGGGCATTAAAGAATCGTTCCCACCTAAATGAAATACTGCTGAGGCGGCATTTCCTTTGAACGGGAAAAGATGCATGTTTTACACAATGTATTTTTTGACTAGCTATTTTGAATTGTGATAACTGGTAGTTTCCATACACTCAATAGCACTGCAAAATAATTGTCATTTTATGTATTTTATAAAAAACCCCACTTTTTAATTATGTAAGTTGCTCATATTTTGTCGACAGTGTCTGCAATGTAAGTATTTTTCTTCTATTACAAAACCTGTTTTGAGGGTCATAACTATTGTTGCACTAACGTGTTACTCCGTGTGATTTGTCAAAAAAAATCAAGTATAGGCCTTACTTATTGTAAATTGATCCATTTGCTAATTAATATTAAATTTGTCGGAGCAAACCTTGTGTTTCTGTCGTATTTATTTCACATTTTCAAAACCAGTACCTTGAACGAGCACTGATAATTTTAAATAGCGGCTTTTTGAGAAAGGTCTCTTTTTAAAGTCATGAAATTTACCTTTGAAGGGAAATTTCAATGCCTAACTAGTTAAGATACATTTTGATATAATGGGATACACTTAAGAAGGGTCAGAATAAGGCGGACCTCCAGCCTCCTTATCTGTTCACTCAATTGGCTCATCTGGGTAGAGAAGATTGGAAGCCTATCTCGTTGGTGCATCCAGGCCAGCAGCAAAGACATGTACATGTAGGTGGAACTGGAACAAGATCCAAACAAGACTGTGAAAAGAGTGAGGAATGTACAATTGTTAAAGGACAGTGAAGTATCTGTCTGCAATTATGAAATAAATTTTATACCCCAGCTGTGCAGAATTGTATTAAAATTGTTGGGTTGAGGATTGCTGGGGATAAGCATGAATTTTTTCATGGTAAACTATTGACAATTTGATGTTTAAATAGTGAAGTCACTTGCCGATTCTTAGTAATTTTCAGTGTTACCTGTAAAAGAGTTCCTCATCTTCAAAGGTGTCTTCTTCAACATCTTCAATGTCATCCTCACTGACTGTGTTGTCCTCTGCTGCGTTCATATTATCACAGCTGTTGCACTCACACAGCTCGGTGCAGACTAGGCCCAATGATACGCAACAGTTCTCATCTGCGTTTGGAGCCTTGCACTTGGACTTCTTGCATCTACAATGTGAAAGTTCCAAAATGCTGTCTTGGGCTGGCTGCAAATCCATCCAGTCTATTTCCAGCATGCCGTCAATTAGCTTCCAGCCATTGCCAACTGGCGATTGAATGTCGATGATTATGAAAGCTTTGCTTGTGAATAGCTGCTTGGAAGTTAGCACGCATTATATGCTTCAGCAGCGCATCTCGGTTAGGTGGCATTGCACTTTCCTGTCTTGTAGCCATTGAAAACTGTGCATACCTTACATCATGCACTTGGTTGTATTGATGATGATTGTACAGGTGGCACACAAATTCTTCAAGACCAGAAACCAGTTCATCAATAAGTGAGAAAGAGATGCCAAGCATCTGGAATGGTGTACAAAACCTTGGATGTTTGATGAGAAATTTTTAGGCCATTGCTTTTCCTTTTCCAAAACAGGCAGAAACCGAGTCACAACTAGTGAAACAGTGCAGATCGATGACGGCTTTTGTGATGTCTTTACCAAGGTGCTGCTGAATGGCTTGTAAGTTGATTGTACGGACGTTGCCGTCCTTTCCTGTGTGGAAGTACAGCTCTCCAAGTCCAGATGCAAGTGCAACTCCAATGACGAAGACATCAGTATCATGGCATTTTATAATGAGACTGGTACTGTCCTGGGACTGGCTGATAAATTTTGCATGTAGAAACATCTTTGTGTTTGCTTCCTCTTGACTACACTCCAACTCTGTCACTTCTTTCACCCTCACAGCTTCATTGATGGGAATAATTGCATGACATGCCAATCCATGAGTGATGTAGACAATCACGCCATCCAGATCTTCAGCATTATATGCGGCCCACGAGTCGAACAAAAACTGATTCAGTTACTCTTTGTTGGAGCTATTTTTCAGATATTTTGCCCATTGCTTAGGCACTGGTCGGTCTGGCTTGGAAAGGTGTATTCTTTGGCTTCCACTTGCTGCATGATGCTTCCTTTCAGCACCTTTAATGCTCAGAGCAGGGTAAGTATCAGTGACAAAGTGGATGGATGTTTAGGAAACACTCTTTGCTAGGTAGACTAACATTTTCTTCGCCAACTCTCCCATCTTTGAAGGCATGTTCTTTGGGCTGAGTCCCTGATGCAACGCCATACCATCGACGATCCAAATTCCTCCTCTTGGCAGATCAACAAGGGGTGATGTTTCTGGGGCATTTTCTAAGTTATGCAGCAATTTTGCCTTATTTGTTTTTCTCAAACAACCGTCTTGTACTGAACGGGCTTGTGGGTAGAGGCTTAATGAGTACTTCATCATGTTTTCAATATCCACATTGCAGACTTTGTAANCCAGGGGGCCGGACCGCTACAAAAACATGACCAAATAAGTTTGTCAGTTATTTGAGGTCTGAGGGAAACATGACAATTATCGGAAACATCTTGCAATAATATCTCAAATGAGTTGTAGCGACTAAATATACATGTATATGCAACATGCTTAAATATCTATCTATCTATCTATATTATGCCATTTTTGCCTTTTCCCCTTGATATTACTCTTGCTCTCTTCTTGCTCTCCCTGTGTTTATTAGTTTTTGTATAAATGTATTTTTTTATTCAGAGGTCATGTAGATGCTCTTCTGCTTTTTATTTTATGCTTGCTCTTTTATGCATTTTATTGCTTTTTTAATTTGCTCTGCTCTCTAATGCCATTCTTGCTTGTTTATCCGATTTTTTGTTTTGCTTTGATTTATAAATGTGAGAAATTTATTTAGTTTATTTTGTTTAAATTTTTGTAATATATTTTTATTTCATGTTTATTTATTTTGTTGTACTTGTAATATTGTCGCTTAAGATCTTCTTGTGTTTCTCTCCAAGTTAGGATTGGCAGGCCCTTGGGTCACAGTGTTTTATTATACTTTTGTCATTCCGGGCCGACTTGGTTGGGGTTATGTCTTGTTTTTGGTTTTTTTCCTTTTAACTCGTCTTACTTCTTTTATCACTTGTTTTTGCTGTCATTGTCTTGTTGAAGGCCGAATAAATAATAATAATAATAATAATCTTGAACTGACAGGCACAAAATCAATCAATAATAAATTGCAAAGACACTTACGACTTTGCTGAGCACAGGCTTAAAACCGACAGCAAAACTAGCAGAAATTACACCAGGTCAGTAGTCGAAATTATCACACTGTATGGGGCATAACACCGAAGGAAACTCACTAACGTTACTGGAAAGCCGCCTCCAAAATGCGCCAAGAAGCAAAAATAATGCCCCTGAACCCCGCAGACCTACTTTGCATACGAAAGGAACAGTCCGCGGCTCCACGAGCATACCCAAATGTAATGTGAAACTACTGCGGCAACCAGACTACGACCACGTGGGTGAGGCAAAGACTATTGTGGCGGGCATCCCCGGGCCTACCCTGAGTTGATGGGATCAAACCAAGCACTATTAGTGGCAGAGTCGATCTTCCCAACCTAAGGCTTTTCCCCAGACGAGAGACCACNATTCCGGCCCCTTAAATGTAAGAGTAACGCACATTTACAACTACAGTACTACAGGTAACCAGGCTTAACATAGAACGTGATAAACAAGTTAACCGTACAATGATACTCAAAGTGTTGCCTAAACATCAATGAACTGGGATCGGTTAGCTGAATGGATACTCCTAGCCATGAGCACCTTCCAAAAGGCACAGCTTGGTGATTGGCCTAACATAACATCCACTGGCTGTTCGCACCTCTACACTCCTAACTAGACCATCACTACCAGGGAAGGTCTTCGAGATCCTTCCAAATGGCCATTGACCCCTAGGTGTGTTGTCATCTCTGACGAGCACCAGGTCACCCACGCTTAGATTCCTTTTCCCTTCTACCCATCGTTGCCGACGCTGAAGGTTGGGCAAGTACTCGGATATCCAGCGTTTCCAGAACCTCTCAGCCAGGAGTTGTACATGCTTCCAGCGTTTCCTGAAGCGATCAGTCTCCTTCAGTCCATGTAGTGGTACTGGATGCCCTGGTCTGAATTTCAACAAGTGGCTCGGTGTCAATGCCCCAAGGTCGTTAGGGTCGTCTGAAACGTGTGTCAAAGGTCCGTCATTGACAACTGACTCAACCTCGCAGAAGAGCGTCTCGAGTCTCTCATCATCGAGAACTTCATTGTGAAGGAGTGATGCCAACACCTTCCTCACCGTCCTAATTTGACGCTCCCAGGCGCCACCCATGTGAGATGCCAATGGGTGGTTGAAACGCCAGTCAATGTGTTTAACAAGTAACGCCCCATTAACCTTGTTGTCCTTGCGCAGCATTGACAAAGCTTCCCTGAGCTCTCTTTCTCCCCCGACGAAGTTGCTTCCGTTGTCAGAATACAGACATTCTGGGGTGCCTCGCCTCGCAGTAAACTCACAAGGCAGTTCAGGAAAGAGTCAGCTTCCATGGAATGCAACATCTCCAGGTGAATACCTCTTGTCGCCAAACAGGTAAACAGACAACCATATCTCTTCTCTCTGCAACGGCCACGCTTGACGCAAAATGGGCCAAAACAGTCGACCCCAACATAGGAGAAGGGTGGCTTGCCTGGTGTGACCCTCCCTTCGGGGAGATCGGCCATGAGCTGAACCTGCGGTCGTCCATGTAGCCTCTTGCACAGCATGCATCCTTTCAAAACCCCACTGATCACAGGACGTGGTTGGGGAATCCAATACTTTCTCTTCCTACAATTCACCAACTGTCAACCTCGATGCCCCACATTTCGGTTTGCGATCTTTAAGCCAACTCTTGAAACGGAGAATCCACGCCACAGCTTTGCGGAGAGGTAGCCAGCTTGAGTATCTATGTACAAGCTCACTAATAGTATCAACCTTCTCCTCTGCATCCACAGCTTGTGAAGTGGCCTCACTCTTCACTTCCTTATCTTTGTCAAGGTTTGGCACCTCTGGCATCACCGGCCATTCCTCTTCAGATTTCCACAGGAACTCCGGTCCCTTCCTCCATCGGTCACTGGAGACCATCTGGCTAGCATCCAGCCCCCGAGAAGCATCGTTAGCTGGGTTGACTGCTGTACCCACATATCGCCACTGTTCTGGTACTGACACATCATGGATAACTGCCACTCTGTCGGCGACAAAGGTATGAAAGCGCTTCTCCTGGTTTCTGATATATTGAAGTACCAACACACTATCTGTCCAGAATGTGGACCCACTCACTCCCAGACCAATCTCCTTCCGAAGCATCAAGTCAACTCGAGCAGCAACGACTGCTGCTGTGAGCTCCTGTCTCGGGATTTTCATCGTCTTCAGTGGGGCCAGACGGGACTTGCCAAGAAGGAAAGTACAATTTACCTCACCAGCAACACTGACAAAACGAGCATAGGAGACGCAGCCAAAAGCATCCTTGGATGCATCAGCAAAGTGATGCAGTTGATTTTCATGCACATCACCAAAGCCATCTGGGATAAGACATCTGTCAACCTTGAACTCACTGAGCTTTGGAATGTCGTCAAGCCACTTCATCCACTTCTCTTGAGTGTGAACTTCCAAGGGATCATCCCAGCTCTTGCCCTTGAGGCGGCATTCGTCCTGGAACTGGATCTTGGCACGAAGAACAAATGGACATACAAACCCAAGGGGATCGTACACAGAACACACAACACTGAGTAATCCCCGCCTCGTGTGAGCTTTCAACTTAGGACGCGTGGTGATAGCAAGCGTATCATCTTCTGTGTCCCAGGAGACCCCGAGGGCACGCTCCACGGGCAGTCGCTCACTGTCCAGATCCATATCCTTCACGACCTTTGCCCTCTCACCAAGTGGTATGGTTTCTAGGACCCGTCTGCTGTTGCTGATCCACTTGGTCAAGCGGAATCCTCCTAAGGCAAGTAGCTCTGACAGCTGTTTGGACAACTGAATGGCACCTTCTACGGTTTCAACAGATTTGAGACAGTCGTCAACGTAAAAGTTGTTTCTTACAGTCGAGGCAACTTCTGGAACAAACTGATCTCCAAAATCATCCGCTGCTCGCAACAATGCATAATTTGCACAACTCGGGCTCCACACCCCGCCAAACAAGTGCACCTTCATTCGGAAGACTTCCAAACATGCATTCATACCCCCGTTGCGCCACCAAACAAACCTCAAGGCATCTCTGTGTTCCTGTGTCACACCAACTTGATAGAACATTTGTTCTATATCGGCCATCAAAGCAATTCGACCAACCCGAAATCGCAGGAGGACACCTATCAGCTTATTCGTCAAGTCCGGCCCCTGTAACACAACATCATTGAGAGCTCTGCCTTTGAATCTTGCTGCACAATCAAAAACGACTCGCAGCTTTCCAGGTTTATTCGGGTTGAAAACGCCATGGTGGGGAATATACCATGTCCTCCCAGGTGGACCGTCAAGCTCATCTTCTGGAACCTTCTCAGCAAAACCCGTGGCCAGCAGATTATTAACCTCAGCAGAATACCGATCATGCAGGCGGCCGTCTTTACTCAATCGCCTTCCCAATTCTGTAAGTCGCTTCACAGCCAACGCCTTGTTGTCTGGCAGATTAGGGTCATCTGCCCTGAAGGGTATGGCCAGTTGATAATGCCCATCAACAATCTTGACTGAATCATCCCAAATCTTGAGAGCCCTCTTGTCATTAACGGTGAGTGAAGGAGAATCGCATAAGGCCATGTCCCCAAGGTCCAGCTTCCAAAAACGCTCTACCTGAGCCTCAAGTGTTCCTTGAACAAAATGCGAAGTGACCTGTGGAGGTGTGCCGTCACTCAGAGGACCGCTGATTGTCCATCCCAGTACTGACCTCACTGCATATGGCTCCCCCTGCTTTCCATGTCTCACCTCAAGAGGTGCAAGTAGATGTGGCGCATCTTGACCAATCAGAAGCATCACAACCTCCTTTGATACCTGAGGGATAGGTATGCCCTTCAGATGCGTGAACCTTTGTGTTTCGTCATAACCGGCAAGACTGTCGCAAAGTACAGGGAAATCCTTTAGTGCATGCACCTTTGGCAGGTGGAAAATCTTGCTTTCTTGCGTCTTGGCCACTGCAGTCACATCAAGAGAAACCATAAGTGACTCTACTTGGGAACTGTTGCTCAAAGTGTTGAGATGCATAGACTGTTTGCTACCATGCAGGTTAAGCGATTTTGCCAGATTCACCGAGCAGAAGGACCTGTTGCTTCCCGGGTCAAGTAGCGCATACGTCTTGAGCCAGTCTTCCTGATCACTACCCTTCACCATGACTGCAACTATAGGTAGGGCTATCTTAGCAGGCGTTTGCATGCCACCGCATGCATAGCTGGTAGCTCCTACATCCTGATTGCTAGGTGTAGTCGGGTCAGACGTGCCCTCACTGCCTTTATTTGACTGGAACGCTTCATGCGGCAGCTTCGAGTGTCGCCCGTTGCATCCTTGAACACCACAAGGACCTTGGCCGCACTTCCTGGAGAAATGTCATTTCCCAGAAAGACAGTTGAAACACAACTTCCTCTCCCTTGCTATTTTCAACCTTGCGGAGGGAGACATCTTTGCAAAACCACTGCATTGGTCAATGAGGTGATTCCCTGAGCAGCATGGGCAGGTTGTCTGTCTTGTAGACCCTTCCGCATCAGGCTTGGATGCATGCTTCAGTGGTTTTTTGTCTTTAGGACGAGGCGTTCCGGTGGCTTGGACACTGAAGTTAGAAACCTTCTTCACCACAGGCCTATCCTTGTTGTTGTCTTTAAAGCCATACACAGGATCGTTTGCTTCCCTTGCGGACTTGTCAAGAAAATCCATCAGCTTGTTTATTCCTGGATAACGACCCGTGTCATCTAGAATGGTGACTGCCTTCGACCTCCACTTGGACTGAAGGACTTGTGGCAGTCGCCTCACAATAGCCCCAAGGCTTCGCTTCGTGTCAATTTCTTCAAGTTTGCCCATGGCTGTGAGCACCACAGTACAGCTCCTCAGATCATCAGCAAGCTTCTGAATTGCCTTCTTGTCACCAGGCATAACTCGTGGTCCTTCAGTAAGCCTTTGGACCCAAGTTTCTGTGATCTTGTAGTCGTTCCCAAAGCGTTCACGCAACAGCTCCCTCGCTTTGGTATAACCCTCTTGAGGCTCCATTACAGCACAGCATTGAATAACTGCCAAAGCTTCGCCTTCACAATAATAGAAGAGCTGATTCAACTTCACATTCGGCCCAACGCTGGTGTTTCCTACGGTAGCATCAAAACTTTTGATAAACATCCAGTACTTGAGTGGCTCTCCATCAAACTTAGTCAGTTCACATTTAGGAAGCTGCATTGTGTCTATCATTTCCTGCTGCAAGCTTGGTATGGTGGGTTGCACCGGTATGGACACTTCTTGTGCCGATGGCACTTGTACTGGTTTCACAAACTGCTCGGGATGAGCCAACTCTGCAGGGGGTACTTCATGTGGAGAATCTGCCAACCACTTGCCAACCATCTCGCCAGCTGTGGATTCAGCAAATAGCTCTTGCAAACCCTTGAATGAAGACTGCTCCTCAAATTCTCCAAGTACCTTTTCTTCTGCATCAGCCTTGGCTATCTCAAGTTGGAGAGCACAGTCCCTCTTGCGTTGACGCAGACGCAATTCCTCCTCTTCAATAGCCTTTAGTTTTTCCATATTTTCAGCTTCAGCGGCAAGTCTTGCCAATGTGGCTGCAGCTCTCAATCTAGCGGTACTGATGGAAGAGTGATCTGATCCACACTTTCTTGAAGAATGTGAACCTGTTTTTCTACTATTTGAAGACATTTTGCCACATCAAACATGTACATGCATCTCAAGTACAAATGGTACAAAAATGCAGTATATCATAGCAACTTAAATGCTTCAACAATGGTTACAACAATTACAAAGATAAAGCTTTGCAATGAAATGTGATAACAACAAGCAAGATAGTAAAATGCATACACAAATATTTGAAAGAGTATTCATGTACTCAACAATAAGTCTCATGAGAGTTCACGGTCATATAAAGTTCAAAGTTCAGTTGGCACAGTCCAAGTTCAAAGCTCGGTGTCCAGTCACTACTCCATGATGCAGCCTATCCTACAGCACTGGTCAACCACTGTTCGTGATGCAAAACTGCCCGCATGTGGGTACCTTTAGGTCAAACTCCAAAGATGACAGCTCCAGAGTTTCCACTTGTCACCACACGAGCAGAGGATGGAGGGCAAATTGTAGGCTGATCCGACGAACGGTAGGTAGCCTTTCACGTGCCAGGGTCACTCACGGGACAGACTGATCTGACGGACGGTCAGTAGCCTCACACGGGATGCAGTCATACTGTAGACTGCACTGGCAGGACGGTCGAAAGTCTCATCACATGGCATGGAGTCACGGTGTAGACTGATCTGACGGACGGTCAGTAGCCTCACACGGGATGCAGTCATACTGTAGACTGCACTGGCAGGACGGTCGAAAGTCTCATCACATGGCATGGAGTCACGGTGTAGACTGATCGGACAGGACGGTCGAAAGTCTCACATGGGATGGAGTCACGGTGTACACTGATCGGACAGGACGCTCGAAAGTCTCACACGGGATGGAGTCACGGTGTACACTGATCGGACAAGACGCTCGAAAGTCTCACATGGGATGGAGTCACGGTGTAGACTGATCCGACAGGACGGTCGAAAGTCTCCATGTGACACCACAAAGTAGCACTGCATTCCACTCACAAGGTATCATGAGTGCCTCAAAGTCATTAAACTGTAGTGCATTCTGCTGCCCTGTTTGCAGTCAGCCCTATCACACTCATGGCCATTGACACTTTCCACGCATACA